CTGACGATAAGTCAACTGGTCGATCAATCGATCGGCTAATCGATGCCGGTCCAAATGGGGATAGGCACGGTCGTGTTGTGGGTGCACTCGAGAGCGCACATACTGCAGCAATTCAGAGAAGGAGCAGTGACCACAGCGAACTAACTCGTCCGCCCACGGGTTGTACGGAGCTGCACACAAATGCACAATTACCTCAACTGTGCAAATAGCACAGCACATGTAGTTCACGTGCGGCAAATGCCCTGAACACATGATAAGACAGTGTGCACGAACAAGCACATTCACACACACAACGGAGGAAGGTAAGTATCGAGTACGCATACGGGGAAAAGTGGGCACACCGAATGTGCCGGACCTGAGTATCATCCGGTCTACCAGGCCAGTGACCGCTCCTAGTACGAGATGCAGTCACGCGTACCTAGCTACACAGCTGTTGTTCATGCTTTGGAGTAGCGCGTCCAGTTGGAGACACATAGAGACGCACGCGAACACAGCAGTTGAGTGAAACGCTACGTGCGCCTGTTTGTTTGTGTGGCGTGTTGCCTGGGGTTTGTGCATCGAGCAGCACTCTCCGCTCAACGTTGAAATTATCCCAGTCCGATGGGGATGGGGAATAGATTTGGATGATAAATTCCATCTGACAGAACTAGGTCTGAGTGCGCATCTGCAGTCACAAACACATACGTACGCACGCACGGACATGCACACGGAGACCTCGGTGCAGTTTACCAGACGCTTGCGAATGCACGAGCACATGCATACACACATTCGAGTGTTTAGTCTGTCAAACCAGGGCAGATGAGGAGTCGAGGCGATCGTGCGTCACCTCACAGACCCACTCGCAGGACTGTGCTGCCACGTCAGACCGAAACAAATCCTCGTGGATAGTTGCTAGCCCAACAATGGCCTCCTGTTACTAACCCACACTCAAGCTTGTCGGCCCCCGCTGTCTCATGCTCATGGTCCCGGCAAAGCGAGAAAGATGGAGTTACCCTGGTGTCTCAAACACACCCACCCCCTTCATTTCGGTCACTCAACTACACAAAACGGCACTTGCGCGCAAATCCATCTCTGAGGTCGTTCAGTCAAATTTGGTGCCGACCTTCTCTATTCCACCATAACTCCTTTATTTATCCATGTATGTGGTGCCTGTTGGAAGGAGTGAGAGGGAAACTGCGATTCCCATGTTCCAATCATAGCAACTACCTTTGGGAATGAGTGTGAGCAGTGGAAATCACGAGATGACCGGTCCACAGACAGGTCTCAATAATTTCGGAGTAGAGGAACTCGCACCTTCTCTCTCTCTCAACTTGCCATGACCCCGGCCGATGTACTGAGGTCTGTGTTCAAATCAAAAGGGGAGATGTGACACTATGGAACAAAGACTGCATATCTGTGGAAAAATCTGTGCGCATATGCTCCGCTCTTAGACTTCAATAAACAAAATCAACAATGAAAATTCAAACGAGTAGTTTCAAGTTGGGACTGTTTTCACTAAGAAAAAACATCGAAAGAAAAGAATACTGAAAACATTACGGAACAAAACGGGGGAAGATATTCACATAACTTTAATTCCATTATCGTTCAGTTAGATAAGAGGAAGAGAAAACGAATGATATATGTGGGGTGAGTCACAGCCGTTTCTGTTCTCATTGGGGAAGAGTAGTCAACCAGATAAACAATCGAAGAGAAAAATTGAGGTTCGAAATGGATAATCTAGCGCATCACCTGCTGGACAAAATATTTCTGATTAGAAGCTCCAATACTCCTTTCCCATCCACAAAACTGGAAAAAAATAAATGGTGCATTGCCGTAACGAAAATACTGCCCCCCCCCTGATTAAATTCTGTCAAACAGGCCTTCCTGAGAGGCCACGCGGCTTGTGGTGAAGCGTCAATTCGCCAAGCCCTTTGGTCTTGATTATGTGTACTTCACTTTTAGCAATCTGTCTGCAATCTTCACTGTACGACTGTAACCTGATTGACAGGGAAAGCGTTACCAAAAACATGTGGTCGTTGTGATTTTTGTTGGTGTTGGGGCTGGTGATATCCGTTAGTAAGTGATCTACTCAGTTATTGGTTCCTATCTGCCTTGCCACTCATTGGAAATCAAATGTAGCCAACTTGGATGCAAAAAAATCAACGGATAAAATGGAAAGTATGCTTTCATTTCGACCAGTTTATTAGATCTACACTCGGTCGGGTAGAACATCGCTCACAAGTCACAAGCACTTGATAATCCCTGGTTTATATCTGTATTTTTTACCGTAAAAAATGGAACGATACTAGAAGAATAAAAAAAGACAGTAGACCAAGATATAGTTTGGAACTCACTTGAGAATAACTCAATCCGGAAATGGTTGCCAGCTCCTTGGTATCATCTGTGGACGGGTACGGTTTAGCTTTGTGCTTTGAATACCATTCGGTCAGAATACGGTTTTGCGTCGGTGTGAAATTCTGCCGATGCGGTCTGCCTTGATGCGTTCCACCTAAATCGCCAGACGTATTTGCGCTGCGTCGACTGCTCCCAGTTAAACCGGAGTTGCGTGACGAACCAGTATGACGACGTGTACTTCCACCTCCTCCACCACCACCTCCAGTACCAGAAGCCGGTAGAAGACTGGTTGGATTGAGACTGGAAAGTGAAGAACCTGATGTGGGATCAGACTTTATACCGGCATAGATTGATTGTAGATTGACTTGGACGGCCACAGTATCGTCACTGGGGCCAATCGTGTCCCAGTCTTCTTCCATTCCATGACTATCGTACGGCGATACGGAATCTACTTCAGATTGCTTTGTTACCGATCTCATTATGTTTGAGCTACTAGTTTTGGCTTCTGATGAAGATGCTGTAATATTGGTGGTTGTCGCAATGGTTGAAGTGGTCGCAGGGTTCGCTGTAACAGTCGAAGCTGTTGGTACTTCTATTAATCGGGTGGTTCCTGCAGAACTATCATCAGTAGGGTGGGAAGTGTACACACCTCTTTGCAAACAGCTCACCAATTCAGGAGTCGCTAGCAAGGCCGAAGTAGTGGTAGCCACACTGAATTGCAATCCCGTTCGGGGATCTAAAAGGCCAATCACCGGTCCATTCGGAGCGGTTCCTATAGGCCGGAGGGCAGCAGAACCATGTGAACTTCGGAGATTGGCTAGTGCCACATGACCCATGTGTCCCGAGGCAGCCGCCGCAGCAAGTAGGGCTTGGGAGTTGGAGTCTAACACATTCAACGTTCCATTAACCAAACCAGTTGCCGAGCCCAACTGAACTGTGGTAGATGCATTGGTACTGGCAGAAGCTGTGGTACACGTCGTGCTGGTCGTTTG